CAGGTTAGGGTGGATTGGCCATGCTAAATTGCCCCGTAGTGTGCAGGCTGGGTGGGTTAGCCATGGGAATTGCAGGGTTACAGGGATAGAATAGGAGGTTGGGTCTGTGTGGGATGCTCTTCAGAAGGTCAGCGTGGACTGGATTGGCCAAATGGCCTGCTTCCCCACTGTGATAGAATCAGTAGGGCAGCATCTCCCCAAGTGTGAACAGGGCAGCATGGTGGCTCAGTGGTTAGCACTGCTGCCTCACAGCGCCAGGGACCCGGGTTCAATCCCACCCTTGGGGACTGTCTGTGTGGAGTTTGCACATTCTCTCTGGGTGCTCTGGTTTCCTCCCATAGTCCAAAGATGTGCAGGTTAGGGTGAACTGGCCATACTAAATTGCCCCATAGTATCCAGGGATAGGTGTGTTAGAGGGGGATGGATCTGAGGGTTGGTGTGGCTTTGTTGGGCCGAAAGGCCTGTTTCCACCCTGCAGGGATTCTATGAATCTAGGACCCAAAAAAAACCCTAGGTCTAAGTGGGGATAAAAAACGCCAGGAAGAGTTTGCAGAAAGAGCAGGGGAGATGCCTGGGTCAGCCAGTTAGCATGACTTGTTGGTGGGGTGGGGCGGTGAAGACTGAAGGTCAAAGGATCTGCCATGACTACAGACCCAGGCTACAAGTGGATAGAGCTCCATTACACCCCACCCATCTCATCAAGCTCCCTTAATCATCAATTAGACTCCCCCAGCCCCCACCCTACTTCGGATAGAGACCAAACCTCACCTAAATTTAAGAGATAACACAGTGTGGAGCTGGAGGAGCACAGCAGCATCAGATCTGATGTTGCCTGGCCCGCTATACTCCTCCAGCTCCACACTGTGTTATCTCAAACTCCAGCATCTGCAGTTCTTACGATCTCACCTGAATTTAACCCTTTAAGCCCCGCCCATCGAGAGAAGGACTGCAGGAACTAGCCTTTAAAAGAGAGAGAAGAATACGAGAAAGCGACGCAGGTTTGTAATCACTTCATGATAAAACTTTTAATATCTTCGAATACTCCATGAACATCACTTTGACCATGACACAGTGACATAGGTGACAACGTTGATCAGCCACAGTCAAGCCAGGGCCTAGTAGGTCTCACCCCATTCGGGTGAGGAAAGAAAACAAGCGACGCGCTGCAGGGAAGCCAGAGGCCTACTTCCACTTGGACTCACCAATTCCTCCAGGCTGGCCCGCGAGGTCCCAGGGGATTGCAAACTTAACATCCAGCCATTGGTAGAGACTCAGGGGAGAGGTCATAGGGGCATGAAAAATTGACATTTCCTTTTGTTTTTACATTGTTCTTATGTACACTTTGCATACGTAGCAGATAGGCCGGGCCAGGGAAACATATCCGATTGGGAACCACTGGGTTGGATGACAAAGAGCTCTTTTCCTTTTCCGCGTGGCTTTAGGAAAGTGAGATGCCAGGAGGATAGCCCATTGGCGGAGGTGAGAGGGCTGTGGGGTGGGGGTAGGAGGTTGTGCAATGAAGTCTCCCTCAATCAGGGTTGGCATCGCTCAGTTGGCTCACTTGAAGGACAGGTGGTGGCATGGGTCAAGGGTCAAACTGGGCCCCAGGCCACTCGCCCTCCGATAAATCTCTATCCTCCCCCCCACTCCACTCTACCCGCTGCCCTCACGACGCCCTCTCCCAATGTATCAATGTCACATTGTGGGATGTGGCAGCCATGATCTAGTTGCCACATTGATGCGGAGGACCCTGCCTATTAACTGCTGGAGACCCCTATTGAGCAACCCCCTATATACCCCTTCCCCCGCCGCTTCCAAATGGGGGAATATCCTTCAATCTTGACTCTGCAAAATCACAGAAGGCCTGCAGTCTAATATCAAATCGACCCCCAAGAAACCAAAAAGTGGGTCTAGGGAGTGGGGGTTTGGAAGGGAGAGAAACTGAGCTCAAGCTGCACATCCTTCCACTCACTGTACCACCTCCTCCTCACCCTCTCGGGCCTGGCTGTATCCCAAGAATGGGTGTCCACAACCCCCTCCACCCCCGACTTTAAAATGGTCAGGTGGAAAGGCAAGGACTAGGTAATGGAACCAGAATAGGCTGAATGGCCTCCTTGTGTGCTGTAATAATTCCCTGAGGTGGTGCCGACCTTCTCTCCCAACCCCTGTCCCCATCCAATCAGATCCAAATACGTCATGTCGCGGCAAGATAGCAGTGGAATGCATGATGCTTAAGAGTCACCAAATTTTCTTCTTCGTTAAGAATATCCCTGTAAAAATTTTCGAATGGAGGGCCAGGGAGGCAAGAGAGAGAAAAACAAAAGCTTCCCGCGCCCCACTCCCACCCGCCTTTCCCCTCGGCATAGCTACAACAACAACATTTATACTCCTATTTACACCATTGGGCCTCAGGCCTCAGGCTCCATCACCGCTTTTGGGTCACTGGGTAGAACATGGAGAGAATACGAGGGGGTAATGTTTGTGGGCCTGAACTTTTTACCCCGTTTCCTCTCGTCATTGAGACCTGACCAGCTGCCCAAGCAGAAAAAAGATTTCATTTTTAGACCACAGTGGGTAGCTTTAGCTTGGGTGGGCTGGGTTTGTGATGCTGACTGACACCAACAGTGTGTGTTCGATTCCTCACCCTGGCTGAGGTCACTGTGTAGGACACTCCTTCTCAACCTCTCCCCTGGCCTGAGGCGTTAAACCACCACCAGTCGCCTCTCTCTAATGAGAGAGCAGTCCTACGGTCTGGTAAGATGTTGGGCGACTTAGCTTGTAAGGTTACAGAACAGAAGGAGCCCATTCGGCCTGCCGTGATTGTGCTAGCCGTTCCATAAAGACACCCATCCTCCCCCACAACTCTTGGCCTGTCACCTTTCTCTGCGGGAATAATTACCCCAATTCCCATTTTTGGAAAGTTGCTCCGTGGAATCTTACCGGGTAGGAAGAGAATTCTAACTTTGACTACAAACAATCGGGCGAACTTCCAAGAATTCAATGGCAGATCTCTCAGTATTGAGTTAATGGCAGCTTAATGCTACAGGACTGGGTTGGCTACCAGCTGATCCATACTGACAGGTCCCATTCGCTAGTTCAGTGGATGGGAAGGGAGTATAGCTGAGAGGAACGGATGGTGCCACCCTACGTTTGGGAATGGTGGGGGGAGTTGTGGGGGGGGGAGCTCTAAGACGGGAGGTCCATTTCCTTGGTCAAGGGCTTCTGGGATGGAGGGATTGGACGGTTGTTGAGGCTGGCCGAGGGTCTCCATGGTAACCATAGGGAGGCCAATTCCAGACTTTGTCTTCTTGCCCCACTGCATTGGGGTAGCCTTAGCCCTCTTGCACCCCACACAAGGCTTCTGGGGTCCAAGGGGCAATTGGCCTTGTCTCTGAGCATCAATGGCTTTAAAGTCCAGCAGGGTAAGAACTGACAAAGAGAGGAAAATTATGTAATGTGAGAGGGAATTATAGCTTAAAAGTAAAGGGGGAACCCACCCGAGCGGAGAAGAGGAAATTTTTTTTTTCCTCTCAGAGCGTTGTGAATCTATGGAATTCCCCTCCTCAAAAAGACAGCAGATGTAAAAATCATCCAATAATTTTAAGGCAGAGGCAGATAGATTCTTAAAAACTTTGGGGGGGTGAAAGATCATCGAGGAACGTAGAGCTGAGGTTAAAATCACATCAGCCGCGATCTTATTGAATGGGAGACAGGCTAGTAGGGCTGAGTGGCCTACTCTTGTTCCTTTCCCATTTGTAAATCAGCCGGGAATACTGAAAACAGGTTGTAAGGCGTGAAGACATTAGAGAGATCCCTAAAAAGATGGTCCGAGGGATGAAGAACCTCAGTTTCATGGAGAGAATGAAGACATTGGGATTATTTTAGCTGGAGAAGGTAGAGGGGAGATCTGATCGAGGCATCCAAAATCGTGATTAGATGGTGTTGAAAGAGTAACTATTCCCATTGGGGGAAGCATTGAGATTGAGAGGGAACAGATTGAAGGTGAATATCAAATGAAGCAACAGTGGTAGAAGGCAAAACCATTTTATGTAGCGAGTGGTTAAGATCTGGAATGTAATGCCTGTGACTATGGTGGAGGCAGATTCAATTGAGACTCAAGAGGGAATTGGATCACCATCTGAAAAGGGTTATGTGGAAAAGACGGGAGAATGATACTGGGAACATTGTTCCTACATAAAGCCAGGGCAGAAACCGCTTTCTGTGGCAGAGAATTCCCAGAGGTTCCCCAGTCTCTCATCATCTCAGTCCTAAATGGCCCGGTCTGTATCCTTAAACTGTGACTGCCTGGTTGTTGTCTCCTTGGTCATTCAGAACATCCTCTACCCTGTCTAGTCCTGTTTATAGGTATTTATGAGCTTAAAAGGAGGTGAGGGAGCTTTAGAGAGGGAAATAGTGAACCTTTGCATGACCCTTGACCACAGAAGCCTTCTACCAAACTGTTGCATTAAAGAACAAAGTTAAATAAATCACAATTTGTCAACAATCCATATCCGTCTGTTAGTAGAGTCCACGATCCTACAGCTGGGGATAAATAAGGATACTTTCTAGTGTACCTAGCTATTTAATTGAGACTGTTCCCCGATGGCTGCCATCTTGAAGTGATTCACTACAAAGATGGGCCTTTTGAGGCCCAAGTCCTCTCACCAATGAGGGCAGAAATGGTTAATACAGGCGACTGGTGGCTCAGATAGAAACCGTCTCGCCCATGAGTCAGAAAAACGTGGCTTTAAGTCCCACTCTGAGGCCATAGGCCCCATCAACCAGGCCGACAAATCCCCACTACTGCTGTGCCAAGGGAGGGACATGGGCCCAGAGGTGCCACCTTGCAGATGTGATGTTAACCTGGGTCATCCCCGACCCCTACCCCATTAACCTGCCAATCGCTGTACTTCTTCCCACATTCCCCCTTCCACACCCCAACCCCAACAATCTGCCAATCACCATCCCCTTCCCCACCCCAGGCCCGACCAGTGCTCCCGCCTGCCCCGTGTGAAAGATCCTGTTTGGAAAACATGATGTTCCCGTCACTTTTCGGGTTGTGAGCGGTGGTGGGGGGGAGCGGCGAGGTGGTGAGGGGATGGGAGGGAGAGCGGGTGAGGGGGGAGCGAAGAACTAAAATACTGCAGTTGGCTGGCTGGTTTATCCCTGGGATCTTCCTGTGCGCGGTGGCGACCTCTGTGCACCCGCCGATGTTGACGGTTGCGTGAGCACGCTTCCACAAATTTTAGCGAGTTGGCTGCAAAAAGCGCTTTTCCCGCAACGTTCCCGAGGCGACCAGGAGGCGGTGGGAATTCGAAACACCGGTCCATCTGTCCTTCATCACACTGTGGTCATCACCTTGAGGGAGCCTGTCCGAAAGCGGAGGATCTTCTTCTTCAGGGCATGCGAGGCTTTGATCTTGACAAAGGCCTTGGGTTGCCCAGACTCGCGGCCCATGGCCTGCGGTGTCAGCTGCTGGGGCCAGACTAGGCCTGTGGCCTCCTCCTCCTCCTCATCTGTGTCACTGGAGCCGCTGCTGAGGCCTGGCGACTGGGCCTCACTCAGGCTCGACTCGCTGTCCCCGAAGCAGTTGGCGGCGTAGACCCTGGCGCCCGGTGCCCTCCCCTCCTCCCCTTCCCCCTCCACCTCCTCCTCCTCCTCGCCCCCACCACCCCCTGGCCCGCGATGCCGGGACGGATATTCCGAATCGCTCCCCGGGTGCCCCGGGGTCTTCGGATACCTCCTGAGCCTTCGCCGCCCCTCGGCCTGGGGGTAGGCCTCGGAACTTGGGGGCGGGGCCGACCCCTCATCCCGGGAGATCTCCGCTGTTGACCTCCAGCGCCGGTGGCACCCACTGGGGTGTCGCCTGGAGCGCGTCGGCCTGGCACCCGTCACCTCATCTCGCTCGACCGTGTTGTACTTGACGCAGGGCACACCGTGCCGGTTCAGGAGGCTGTTCTCCGACTGGGAACGGCAGGTCTTCTTGCCCCGGGGGGAGGGCCTCCGCCCGCTCCTCTTGGCCGGTTCGGATTCCTCGCTGAAGCGGCACTTCTTGCTCGAGGCCTTGCCCTTCTCTCGGAAGCCAGGGGGTGCCCCTGCCTCGGGCGAGGCGTCGACGGAGCGCCCTTTGCTCATCGGCAGGCCTTTGGCTTTGCTGCCGTGGCTGGCGGTGTGGGCTTTATATGACTGCTGAGCCGGGATGTACTGCGCGCTGACCATCTGGTACCCGCCGTCGTCTGCCCCGGGCGACCTCTGGACGCTGACCTCTGGCCCCGGCGGTTGGTCAAAGGACGGCGAGCGGAGCTCTGAGGACTCGGGCCTAGCAGACAGGAAGGTCTGATGCCTGTCGTCGAGGAAAGCCTGAGGCCTGTCGTCGAGGAAGGCCTGATGCCTGTCGTTGAGGAAAGCCTGAGGCCTGTCACTCAGCTCGTACACGTTCTGGTAGTAATTCTCCTGAGGGGACGCCCTCATGGCTGGATGATAATTCAGTTCGTGATACTCGAGAGAGGTGGGTCTCATGGGAGGCGTGTTGGCCATGAGCCTGATGGGCTTCCTCAGGCTCTGCTGTGAACTCTGGCCCTCGTCCATACTCTTTTGCTGCTGGATGGCAGCAGTGAAGTTGTCGACGGATTGACAGGAGGGAACCGTTTTCTTGGCAGACAGCTGTTCCCTGCTCGAAGTCCACTGGGGCCTATACTTTGGCGACGGCAGGCTCCCATCAAAGCTGTGGGAGCTTGGGATATTCCTGCGCTCGGACAAAGACCGGGCTGGATCACAGACCCCAATCGGAGGGCTGGCAGCTTCCGTGCTCCTCTGGCACATGCTGCTCTGCCGAATCAGGCCTTTCGTGGCCTCCGTGCTGAGGCTAGTCCTCAGCTTGTTGGGCCGAACTGGATAAATACGTTTGTGCACCAGGCCTGTGATGTAATTCTCCAGCCTCTTTGAGTGCACGGCCTCCAGGCCCAGGGGCATCTCGCCCTGGGAGCCGAAGAACATTTCGCCGTCGTCGTCCAGCTTGTAGCTGCTCAGGTAGGAGGTGGGCGACATGGGCTTTTCCTCACTGTTGGCCCTCAGTGCTTGGCACAGCAGCGGGCTCTGCACGGCCATGGCGTGGAGGGGGCTAGGATACGGGAAGAGGTCCAGGCCGTCGCGGGTGATCAGGTCACACTGGTACTTGGGTTGCACGTCCATCAGGGCCTCGAACGAGTCCGCGCGATTGGTCGAGAACGAACGGGGCACGGATGAGACATAGTCGCTGTCGGCGTAGCTCAGACTCTCATCCCGGTCCAAGTGCAGAGGCTCAGCTGGGAGAGAAAAGATCATCAATGTTAGAACAGGGACAGCACAGGGTTAGATACAGAGTAAAGCTTCTTCTACATGTCCCCCCATCAAACACTCCCAGGACAGGGACAGCACGGGGTTAGAAACACAGTAAGGCTCTCTCTACACTGTCCCCCATCAAACACTCCCAGGACAGGGACAGCATGGGGTTAGATACTGAGTAAAGCTCCCTCTACACTGTCCCTATTAAACACTGCTAGGAAAGGGACAGCATGGGGTTAGATACACAGTAAAGCTCTCTCTACACTGTCCCCCCATCAAACACTCACAGGACAGGGACAGCACGGGGTTAGATACAGAGTAAAGCTCTCTCTACACTGTCCTCCATCAAACACTCCCAGGGCAGGGTCAGCATCAGGTTAGAAACACAGTAAAGCTCCCTCTACACTGTCCCCACCAAACACTTCCATGACAGGGACAGCACAGTGTTAGATACAGCTCTCTCTACACTGCCCCCATCAAACACTCCCAGGATAGGGACAGCATAGGGTTAGATACAGAGTAAAGCTCCCTCTACACTGTCCCCATTAAACATTAAACAGGCAACGACTTTTTCCTTTGCAAAATTTGTGACGTCACGGTGAGGATCAGAACTTCATCTGTTTCAAGAACCCACAGTCTACAGCACCCACAGTAAAGATCCCTCTACACTTTTAACAGAAGCATAGCGCCCAGTACACAGTCCCCATCAAACAATCCCAGGACAGGGACAGCACAGGGTTAGACACAGCGTAAAGCTCCTCTACATTGTCCCCATGAAACACTCCCAGGACAGGGACAGCAGGGGGTTAGAAACAGCGTAAAGCTCCGCTACACTGTCCCCATCAAACACTCCCAGGCCAGGGACAGCACGGGGTTAGATACAGAGTAAATCTCCCTCTGCACTG